TATTATGCATGTTTCTTCAAAGCATAATAAAATAACACGACTATCTTTGAAAAAAGTGCATAATGTTTAAAATAATGTTTATAAACCTTATATAATTAAAGTTGCTTAAACAATTAGAAACAAAACAGAATCATGCATGTATGTATAGTTTAATACAAAGGACCGAAAACCAATCACAAAGAGTACTTTCTTCATGTAAAAACATGAGATGCAGTGGGATGGGGAAAAACCGCCATAAAGTCTTGAGACATGTTTTTAAAAAGTTTAACTTATATTAATTTTCCATAGCTTTCTAAACATGCCGCTCTCTTGTGCGAGACGCGAGTGCAATGGTGATAGATGTCCCTCTAGAAAATGTGATAAATATGCATTCTGTGTGAATGGTATGGTTTCGGTTTTGACGAAAACATCATCTCCGCATTGATGTTCTTTTTTCCCGCAATATTTTGAATGAACAACGTAGCAGCTCCGCATCTAGTGTGTTCAACTGGATAGACTAACAAAAACATTAAAATGCAATGACACTTACATCGTCGTCGCATTTTGTGCGCCACTGATAAGGCTGTCTGACGCACACCTAAAATTCAAATGCAACGTTTTTGCATTCGAATGTGGATTTTTATTTTAAATTCGACGAATATTCGAAATTCTATTTTTGTTTTGACAGCCCTAATGCCTTCTTTGCTGAATAAATATATTAACTTATTTCTGTTTCAAAATTAAATTCTTACTGACCCAAAACTTTTCAACAGTAGTGTATGTAAAAACGTTTTTGATATGTTCAGATGTTTAATTGTTATACATTTTTCAAAATGTTGGAAAATAGTTTGATCTGTTTACTGTTTGACACAGGGTTTTGTCATTTTGCATGTTATTTTTCCTCAGTAAAACTATACCATTTTATTAAAAAATGTATAAATTAAGACAAAAATTATTAAACACGACATGACAAAATATTAGCTTCTTTTTTTTTGTCGAAGCACAATCACTACCAAAACAATAACTGTGTGAAAGTGAACACTGCCTGTAAAAACATGAAAATGTTGGTTCATCCGGTGGACCGTAGTGTTCTCTCATCTTCACCAGAATGGGTTCAGCCTAAGTGCTGAGTCGAGAACTGGGCCTCATTTCCTGCCGCCCATGCCAGGAGTGAAGTGTAATAGAGATGTTTAAAGCGTATCTGCTTTGCTTGCATTCCATCATGTGCTGCTGCTAAAATAATAAGTGCACGGGTTACTTCGGGACACATCCCTCTGAGCAACAATCGCATTGTTGTGATTGGCTCTTTCGTAAGGTTCCCTTTTCTAAGAGTTGTAACAACTCCGAAAACCACACTGACCGTGTTTGCAACACTCGTCTGTGGATCGTAGGAGCATCTGTCACATCTAAGTAAGTCATTTTGACAGGCAGAGATTTATGCTCACTCTTTTCTATCCTCAAGACAAGTCATCTATCTGTTTGTTTGTGTGCGAGCTTGTCCCTTCCGACAGGCGAAACCCAAACAAACATGAGGAAACATGAATATTGCATTTCCCAAGATGCTCATGCGTCTATTACTGTGCCTTTATGGTGTTAAACATGGTAAATTGAGTAGACGGGGGAGAGAAACTGTCTCGGTGGGAGTGCTGGAGCATCTCATCTCCCCATCATGCAGTGCTCCAAGAGCCATATTAACTTGAAATCAGATTCCACCAGTTCATTAAAGCTGTCCTTGTGCATCCCTTGGATGTTGAGGGAGATGGCCACTTTTTCATGTGTGAGAGAGTCTGGTAGAGCAATGCCCACTGTAAAGCACAGAGCTGTAACAAGGCTGGAATCTTTGTTCCAAGGCTCAGACGCCTGAGAGGAGTTTGCACAAAGACATGGATTCTGTTAGAAAGTCTTGTCGTTTGTGTGAATATACAAGAAGAGAAATGTCAGGAGACTGTGATAGCAGTTTGCGTGCACGTATGTAGATGTGTGTGTATGTTTTGTATGAGTGAGTGCACGTGTTTGCTAGCACTAGCTCTATACAGACATGGTCGCCTAGGTGATGCTACATGTTCTTTCCTATCTACAGGCCCCCTTTACACCTGGCATTAATGAGTTTCCGGTGAACGGATCACTGAAAACACGTTCAAAGGTGGTCTAGGATGGATTTTGACGAGATTTAGGACATACATCCTATTAATTATTCAAATATCTTAGGAATTGGCATATTAATAACCAATAAAGTTGTTAATGATGTTGTTTTTTTCTGCAGCAAGACCGTATTTATACTATATTTTTATAATTTAAGTATATTATACAGGATGTGCTGTTTAACTGAGCTCTATATGCTTTATATTTTACTCTATTCTTTTTTTTTTGCTGCATAAAAACACCAGGCAGAGGGACTTCTGAAAATTAGCCTTTTGGCTAATTTGGGTACATTTGCATTTACTTTAATGTTTTTTAATGTACAATGTCTCTTTTTAAATAAATAAATGACTGAATCAATCAATCAGCCTTTCGTATCCACATTCAGCTACTCAAGTAAACTGTAATGAGGTTACTTTGAATATAATTCTGTCACATTGAGTTTGTGCAAGCAATGCTTTTAACAATGTCTAAAAAGACAGCTGACACTGACATCTGATTTTCTTAGCATTATCCAATTATTTATTTACTCATTTGGCTGGATTAGACTCATTTTATCTTTTCAAAGGGAGCTTTTTTTTTCATTTTTCTTCCATTATAATCCCTATATTGTAGCTGCAGTCCGTAACTTTTTTTGGTTAAAAATGATCCAAAACCAGCCAGTGTTCAAAACTATCTCCTTACCTTAGCCCGATTCACAATGGTAAACTTGTAATAATGTGTTCTAATTTGAGTGGTACTGATAGGTTTCCGCAGGAAATACGAGTTTGCCACCATTTGACTTTGCGTCATTGTCACGTCTGTATACATTAAGAAGGAGTCCCGGCTAGTAGGCTATGTCGCATGTGAGGATACTGCAGGTGACAGATCATATATAGCCTTTTCTCACAGCAGCTGGAATAATTAAATTTATTTTGATGGCAGATTGTAATCCAGAAAGGTCCAAACTACAATCATCAGTGACAACTGGAGATTCACCTGTAGTCAAAAGCAAAAGACGTTTTAAGCTATCGTTAGATTTAATCACCATTGGTAGTGCGATTTATCGTAATGCTTTTTTTTTCTCAGTTGGTCAGAGCAAAAGTAGCAGACATGTTACTTACTTGTTCAAATGACATTTTCCGGTGAAAATTCTTATTTGGTCATACTTTCAAGACGTAGAATCTGTGATTCTGAAGTACAGTATCCACACCAGTGCGGTGACTGACAGCCACACATACTCCTCAAAACATTAGATTCATCTGCGCTGAGGAGCCATGCCGATGCGCAACTCATGTAAAGATGATAATTCCACAAATAACTGCAATTGCAGGTTTCAAACAGAGATGGCCACAAAGAGGCAAAACTTACCGACACGTAAATGCTGATTGGTTGCACGACTAAGTGCAATCAAAAACGTTTCAAGCTATTCAGTAGAGCTTTCCTTTTATTGCTATTAGCAGTTCTGGGTGGTTTGGCCAAAATCTGTATCACTGTTTTTTGTTTTTTTTAGGATTCTGATGGTTCCACAATTTATCACGGTTTTTCCCTGACTGTGCCTTTGTACGAATCAGAATACATGAAACAGTTGCAGAACCACTGCATTTTAATCACAATCCAAACAAACATGCTACATATTTTTTATGTAAAATAGATTGTATAATTTAAAATTTTGAAGCAATAACAGAATTGTCTGACCTTAGATTTTTGAAATTATGCTACATAAAACATATCTGCATGAAACAAAAACAGCAGATGGGCTGAATAAGACGTAAATTCACTCTCTGACAGCAGGTGGCACTTATGGAACAGCAGCGATACAGAGTTTCCTTGGTTATCGCTGTAAACACAGCAGCATTGCACTTTTAAATACTACATACATATGCAATATATATGGAGGTAAGATAAAAAGAAAATACCATCTAAACTTTTCTGAAGACAGCCAGTTCCCCAGAGATATATTCACATAAACCCCCACCCCCAATTCAGGATTTAGTTTTTTTTTTTCCAATAAGCATGGTGAAGTGAGTTTGCTCTGCCTGCAGCATCTTCAGCTTCTCTGGTTTCTGTTAACTATTATTTACAGTTGGTTTATTTGTCCAGTTAAATAATTTGTTGTATGTTATTAATAGTTCTCCAAATGTTAGTCAGACTCAGAACAAGTCTATGCAGTTAACAGGGATCCCCTCTTAATTCATGACACTGTACATGTTGCTCAGCCACTTGTACTGGTATGCAGGTTTTTTTTTAATGTATACCGTGTGTGTAGTTGGTACATCACCAATAACTGGTATATCACCCAGCACTAGCTATTAGCTTGCTAACTGAAGGCTAATAAAATCACAAAAGGTATATGTTTAATTTGACCATTTTAGCTTCAGATATATGTGATATGTAACTAAAAATCATCAATGAACATTTTGATTGATTGTTTTTTTGGTTTATTTTTAACCAGGCACAGAATAGAGTAACCATAACATGTTGCCTCAGCTGATGGAGTGGCTTTGGGATTCAAGGGGGATATAATTATCTGTGTTTATTATATATAAATTATATATAAAACCATACTTCATACTGTATTTATCCTGTATTCTCTCAGCATTGACATGATTCAGTGTTATGGCTTCCTTACTATGCTACATTCTGTGTCACTCACTCTTCACAACTATTTAGGTGTAAAATACCAGCCAAAATACAGCCCAGATGCGTTTGTTTACCCTCGGCCATAAACCTGAACTGTTTACTAACTGCATACCTTGATGACTTCATTGCCTGTTGCATTGTAGCCTGTGCTATTGTTCAGAGCTTACTAGGTCTGATTTAGTCACGGAAAAGGTGAGAGGAGTCACACGCAGCAGCTTTCTCATGCCTTTCTCTTTTTCTCTCTCTCTCTCGGCTCGCAGACGCCATCAATAACAGGATGTTAATGCTAGACGGAATGCCTGCAGTCCGAGTCAAAGCAGAACCTCTGGAATCTGAGAGAGGGGTAAGAGAACAGTTGTTTTTCATACAATTTTTGTCCTAACCTCCAATCTACACTCCCATACCACCCTCTACTTCTTTCACCCCTCTCACGCCCACCCCCTCACTGAGATACCCCTAATTACTCCCAGGCGCTTGTGTGTGTGTGTGTGTGTGCAAAGCAGCCCTGATGTGGAGAGCCACAGCTGGAGCAGGAATGCTCCCAGGGCTTACAGTCAGGGCCACTGCAGCCAGGGCAGCCATTTTGGCAGGGCTCAAGCACAGATGCAGAGACACTGCTGTGGGGAGTCATTCTCTCTTTTTTGTCATTAATTCTTCATATGCTGCTTACCTAAGTGCACTTGTACTGTACATGATCATCCAGGCTCTCTTCCAGGCATTATCAGAGTATGTATAAACTATATATCAGGGGTTTTCAAACTGGGGTCCAGGGGCCCGCAAGAGAGAAACAGCCCTAAAATATACATTACATAAAATACATTAATCTTAAATATCTTTAAAAAAAATCTTGCTGACATGCTTCACAGATTTCCTACACTCAGAAAATAAGGTACAAAAACTGCTATTGGGGCGGTACCCTTTTAAAAGGTATTAATATGTAGCATTTAGGTACTAATATGCACTCTTTAGGGGTAAATATGTTACAAAGGTGTACCGGTACGGAAAAGAAAAGCACAAATGCAGGTATGGACTATTTTCTTGGAGAGAGAACTTGTGAATAGTTGCGTCTGAGAGCCAACGACGTACCCTTGTTGTGTTCTACTTCACAAGCCAGCATAGCAACACCTTGCTTCCTTACTGCCAAAGACTGGTAGACATATTTATCCATATGTGTCGCAATCCTGCCTAGCGCCAGGAAGTGTGCAACCTACACAATGGCTCTTTGAAGTGCATCTCATCCAACAAACACGGACATGGTCGTCGTTCTGGTGGCCACTTGCCAAGACCTTGCTCAGAATTGTTTGCCCCAGTTAATGCCCTCACCAGCTAGACCGATATCACACGCAGGATCCCTGAATAAAGTGAAAGTCATCAGTAAAGAGCCAAGGTGGAATGTACAGAGGAGAGAGCTATTAAGGTTTGAAAACATTTCTACAGAAAGTGACATTCAAACAAGAACAGGAATCTTCTTGCAAAACAACTATCACCTCATAGCCTTTGATTTACACTTTATTCCATATGAAAGGAGGTCATGTGTGCTACAGTACACCATAGTTCACAGTTTCACTTTGCTACAGTTTACAGTTTCATCTGATTTTTTTTTTCCTTTACACATTTCATCGTGAAACACTGTATGATGTGTACAGCCTAATGGATCAGCCAGTGATACCATCTGAATAATCATGAGCACCTCATGAGTGCAGTTCTTGATTATCTGCCGTTTTTATCTTCAAGTGCCTCGAACCTGCCTTGGAGCAAAATAAAAACACAGTGAAACAAAATTCAGAGCTCTACAAGGCCAAACTGACTACAGTGTAAAGAGAGGAGATGAGATCTATTTGAGAAGGAGGTTTGTCTCAGAGGGGATGCAAAGACCTGAGGCTACAGTGGCCGCAGGCACAGATCCGCACAATGTCCTATATACACACACAAACAAAAAAACGTATGCAGTGTAAAGCCTCTTAAGCATACCCTGAAGGGTACATAACAGAATTCAATAGAACTAGAGCGAGAGTTCACTACAGACAAACACTCTACTGAGTGATTTTTTCAGCAGGAATCATGGCGATTGCATTACTGCTCCAAGGTGGTGTTCTGAAGGAAATGACCAGAAACATTTTGTCCTTTTTGCTAGGAACACAAAGGATCTCTTAGGTATTACCGAGGCAGGTTTTTCAATTATAGCGAGTCTGATGATGCTGATTGGTCATTAGCGGCACCTCCCTTCCTCTTTCATACAACCCTCATTAGTAGGTTGCTGATTGCATGCTATGCTAATAGAAATTCACTCACTGGGTTTGATTACCACCCTGTCTGTGCAGCTGTGCAGCATTTTTCAAGACTAAAATACTAAAATTCACTAAAAATCTACATTATAATAAAACATTATCATTTATAAAGTACATTGTACAAATTACATGTCCTACATTTCCTATGAAATAAAGAATCGAAGTAGAAAAATCAACATTTCACCGAAGGGTTATTATTTGATTTGCGACCAAGTTAATGGATAATAAAATGACGTGATATGTATAATCTGAATCAACAGATATATAACATTTTCTGAAAACGTTCATGTCTGTTGTGGTTTTAAATTGTTAACCCATGTTTTATGTATTTGTTTAATAACGTCTTGCCAATTTGTTTGTTTTAGAATATTTTCATTAATTAATTTTAGAATTCTTTTTATTGTTAAAATGCTTCAAATGCAGTGAAGTTGGGGGAAAGGGTTAATGGGGTTTGGTATAAAAAATGATGGTTAAAGCAGCATGTTTTCAAATGCAAAATGTTAATATTTTAACTGGCCCACAAAAGAGAAATGAGATATTTACAGACCCTATAATCACATGATAGCTCCACCAGTCAACGGGGCAGTTGTGGCCTAATGGTTAGAGAGTCGGACTTGTAACCCTAAGGATTCAAGTCTCGGTATTGGCAGTGATTGTAGGTGGAGGGAGTGAATGTACAACGCTCTCTTCCACCCTCAATACCATGACTGAGGTGAGACCCTTGAGCAAGTCACCGAACCCCCAACTGCTCCCCGGGTGCCACAGCAAAAATGGCTGCCCACTGCTCCGGGTGTGTGTTCACGGTGTATGTGTGTGTGTGTGTTTGTTCACTATTCACTGCTGTGTGTGTGTCCACTTGAATGTGTTAAATGTCACACTTTGCAGAAAGGGTCTCTTTGTTCTAAAAATACTGCTCCTTTCCCTGCCCAATCAAATGAGTATTGTAAGCCTGACCTTGAGGTCATGTGTCCTGACCTGTGAGCTGTGACAGTGCACTCTGAACCCTGAATGACCCAACCTGGGGTTTTATGGGTCATGTCAGCATATTTAATTGCTTGACATTTGTTTGTTTTTGGATTCAAATGCAGTTATATTGTACCGCATACTGCTGATTCACGGGTCGGTAAGGCTCAGAGTGACTCCACGTGTCCAGAGTAAAAATAGTATGAGCTCGGTGTGGATTTGCTACAGGCCCACTCAGTCTGCCTAAAGAAAAGTGAGTCTATAAACAAAGTCGAGACGTGATTCTGCAGCAAACCGTTTATCACATCTGCCGTCGCAATTCGAGAACTTTTCCCCTCGGTTTAATGAGCTGCTCTGTCATGATTATCTGCCTGCCTAGGAGCGATCATTTCACCGTATGCGCTTGCTGCAGAGAGGAACGCTCTGTCTGCTAGCACTTTATTTATGCTGTTTTCTTGGGCAGACACCCATGTGAAGTTGACAGATCCGGTCTCCACGATGATGTTCTTTTAGATGTGAAAGCTACATTTTGTCCGTGTTCCAGACTACGACAAAAAAAATATATTGACAACAGTTGCGAAGACGTATTCAGGGCCATTACAGAGTTTAAAACGGACTCCCTCACTGAGCCTTGAATCATTTTGCTGTCACAATTGAAAAACATTACAAACCGTTTTTTTCCCCCTTAAATTTGAAATTATATAAAGAAGAAAAAATCTTTTTGTATCTTTGATATATGTATACCCTTTTCATTACTCAACATTTCCGTCAGAAATTTCTTTAACAAAATATTATGTCTTTGTTCCTTACAGTCACCCAAAGTGCACGGCTATCCTGATATGGAGGCTGTGCCGCTCCTGCTCAGCAAAGTGAAGGCAGAACCTCCAGAAGACCTGCTCTCGTCCGAGCAGTTTCAGACCCAGACAGAGCCCGTGGACCTGTCCATCAACAAGACACGGACGTCATCTCCTTCATCCAACAGCTCACCCATTACCTCAGCCTTCTCTCCATCTTCCTCTTCATCATCGTCATCCTCACCTTCCGTCATCACCTCAGTCTCCTCGGGAATGCCCTCCATTTTGACACCCGGGCCCTTGGTGGGCTCTTCTCATGGAGTTAGAGGCCAGCAATTTTTGCACATCATCCACCCCGTCCCCACTTCCAGCCCCAGTAAACTTCCCAGCCAGGTGCACCGTATCCCTGTGGTGGTGCAGTCACTGCCCCTCATGTACACCACAGCCGTACGCTCCCCTTCAACCCTCAACTCCACCATCATGTTACCTCTCCTGGACGAGGCCAAGTACCATGGCAAAGGTGAGGACCACTTTCTGGATTGTTCAATAATTCCTGTTGGTTATTTTTTTTTTACTTACTGTAGTTACAGTGGGCTGACACCTTGATACACTGCATTTTTTTCTTACTCAGTATTTTTATCTTGTTTCCCAGTACAAATATCTAAACATTCTTAAAACAATATGTATTTACTTGAGAAGCAAAATGAACATGAAGTCAAAGATGACAGATGAACATTGACATTAAGTCAAAAAAATAATAATAATCCCTGAGTTTATGCTTAAATTAGGTGAGAAAAATAAACTTACTCAAAGGGAAAACTAGATTCTTTTTCTTACCCCATTGGAAGATATTTTTCTTGTTTAAAACAAAAACTCACTTCATTGATACATTTTCAGAAAATATGACTTAATTTTTTAAGCCATTTTGCTTTTCAAGTAAATGCATCTAGATATTTGTATTGAAAAACAAGACAAAAATTACTCCGTAAGAAAATGATTTTTTGCAGTATAAAAAGGTCGGAGGTTTGCAAGTGGGAATAACTTGACAGTTTGAAAATTACTTACTTGATCACCGGTGTGCCCCTGAGTGAAGCACTTAGCATCAGCCTGCCCCAAGGGGAATGTTGAAATCTTATGAAATTGTGATCACAGGGGAGAATAAATCAACTGGAATGGGGAAAAATTAAAGCTGATTAAAAGCATGTTTCCTTCACATTTGTTTTAGGGAAAGACTAGCTTCAGACAACTGCATCTCTCTGTCCTTTTTTTCACAGAAAAGCACCATAGTACTCATAATGATATGCAAATATGGGGCTGTTTGTCCTCAGCTGCCTGTGTACTTCCTGCTGTTAGGGAGTATGTGCTGGGTGACAGGCTTTACATACTGTCTGCTTTTGAAGTGGTGGGCATATAAAGTAAAATATTAATTTCAAGTCAGGTAAGCAGGGTGGGAAATTAACTCTTGCCTCCAGCATTTGGGCAGTGGTCGGTAATTTTGATTTATGTACCAGCCAATGTGGTGTTGTTTGTTGATTTTAAAATCTGGCAAGGTGCACGTCATTGCTATATATCTATATATTCAGATATTCGTAGCACTTCGTATTGTCACACTTGCATTATTTTATCTCACGTTGCAGTGTATAGCGTAAATGAATATTAACAGTATTTCACAAGTGGACCAAAATTAGATGAAAGGAAAAATAAAAACACCAAAAGAATGGAAAAGTTAATTTTCACTTTGTTCTTTGTTCGTTTTATTGGAAATATCTGAATTCTTTTCAAGAGAACTTAGATGTGAAAACATATTATAGCTATGTTTTTTTTTTATATATAAAGTTAATGTATGTAAGAAGACAACAGTGTCAGTGAATAGCTTAAGATAAAATAAAAAGCGTGATTTGTGAAGAAAAATAAATGTTAAATACCATAATTTAATAGTAAATTCAATTCACTTCTATGTATTTAGGATACATAATGTGTTAGCTCTGAAAATAAAGTCTTTTCCACCACATAACACGATTAAACACAATACATCATTGGAGATGTGGTGGAAATATTCATGAAACAAAAATGACAGAATTATTCTGAAATGCATGTATGTCCACTGATGGACATTGTTAGTATTAACTAGTGAGAGTGTGAAACGTTTGTTATTTTCCAAAGGGCTAAAAATGCCCATAGTTGAAGAAACACCCATATATTGTGAGTTGTATACGTTTATGCTGAAAAAAAGTTGCTTGTAAAAAACCTAAGAGGATGATAAAACAGTCATTGTCTGGTGGGCAAGAAATTAAACTTGCCAACCTAAAACTACTGTAAAGCCCATAGTTGTGCATTATCTTAAGACACTGTTGCTTTTCTAACAAACAGAATATTGTTTACTGAGATGAAAGTGGTTTCTGCAAACATAGGACCTGCGTAGTTATCTCACATCCAAGGTCATGCAGACAGGTCTCGGCCCCTCACCACATGCCCTAATTAGAAGCACACATCTTGCATGGTGCCTTCCCAAACTCTCGAGACCTCACCGACGGTACTTTGGGACTGCTGTTTAGGGTTGGTTTCCTGTAGGGCGAGTTTTAATACTCTGTCACTAAGCCATGATGCTCTGGGTGTTGCTGTCAAATGGTGTTCGGCCCGAGCAGAGGGCACAAGGGAGCTGTATGTTGCTCAACCTCTTGTTTATCTGGGAAGGGTGTCTGTCCCAAATGGTTGGGCAGGGCTGGGCATCCTGCTAGAAGAAGGATTTAAATACTGGGTGTCTACTCAGCTTCAAGGGAAGAAAGAGAGGAAAAACAAGGTTTGCATAATGGGGTGGGGCGGATATTGAAGATGGGTGGCACCGCAAGCAGTCAGGCACATAGCAACATGGACTCCACCCAGAGTTCTCTGGAGCAGCACAGAGGAAATGGGGTCAGACCTGGGCGGGGTCAACATGGTAGCAGACGATGATATTCTTACATGATTGTGACTGACAGTAACATTACCACTATTTAGAGACATGAGTATGAACCTTATGTTCTGAAGTGCACCGATCGGCAATGCTTACAAGTAAATGTTCACAAATAAATGTTTTCATCATAGCCAGTGACAGCTGGAAACACAATGGACAGCGCACACTTTCACTTGCACACGCATACTCGTGTACAGGTTGCCAGGGGGAGGTGGGGAGGGGGTGTGCCCTTCTCCACAGCTCTATCTCCGGCTGAGTTACCATGGAAACAGGCTATGGCTGGAAACAACAGGAGAAAGAAATCATGGGGTTTGCTTCACCACCTCTCATGAACTCCGATTTTGTCATTGCCTTTATATGGAAATTTTTAAGGAATATCCAGGCAAGCTATGTACTGTAGGTAAAGTGAATGGATTATGGTGGAAACAGTCCACAGAGACGGGGCATATTATTCACGGTAGCTGTCTACAGTATCCATACTATAGAGTATATTCAAAATTAATGTTATTTTTTTTAAACAGAGTTAGTCTAACATAATTTATTTAAAGTATATAGCACATTAAAATGTGCTGCACAGTTCAGTAAAGAATGTTATTCAGATAGATATAAAAAAATAACAAAATTTAAATGTAAAAGAAACTTAAAATTATACAATTTTAATAATAACATGCAAATTAGAAGATATAAAAAGCATTTATTGCACTAAAAATAATCAGGGGATCAACAGTATACAAGTATGATTTTAAATCTGTTTGAACATTGATCTAGTACCACAATAATGCAGGCAATGTGGAATATAGTGTTGTGATGTGAATGGCTTTACATTATTCCATATACAGAGGTTGCAAAGCTTCTGCTATAACTGATTTGTGTCTAGCCTGAGCAGACAGAATGGAGGAGGAGAGAGAAGAGCTCCAGGCTCTTGTAATGTGTCCAATTAATCTTTCATTGAAATCCTCCATCAGTTGTGCTGAGCGTTTGTGGCACTCTAAAGTGGATGTTTAAACTACCCTTGGAAAGGCATTTAATAAGTTTTGTGCTGAATTTGATAATGACTAACAGTAAAAAGCAATAGGTATAAAGTTAGGACAGTGCATGTGACATTAACTTAATTCGTGACTAGTGGGTTCTCCTCAAAAATGGTGTGCTGGTCTGTTCTTATAGCATTGCTGATTAGATCTACGGATGTACGTACACTGCCGTTCAAATGTTTGGGCTGGTAAGATTTTTTAAAATGATTTTTCAAATAAGTTTTTTTATGCTCACCATTCCTGCATTTTTTGATTAAAAACACAGTAATAACATTAATTTTGTGAAATATTGTTACAATTTAAAATAACTTTTTTTTTCTATTTTAAGATATTTTAAAATGTAATTTATTCCTGTGATGGGTGAAAAAAGCTGAATTTTCATCAAGTATTACTCCAGTCTTCGATATCACATGATCCTTCAGAGATTATATGTACTTGTATTTTTTAAACATTAATTATATCAGCATGTAGTCTGGTTTGCTGAAGTCCATTGTTTGAAGTTGCAGCTCACAAAAACTTGCTCTGATGGAAGGAAATTTGTGGAATTTGGGTATGGGTCATGATTTATTGTGTATTTTGTTTTCTTAATTATGTAATTTTTTCAGTATTCAATGACACTATAGAACCACTGACAATCGACAAACCTAAATGTAAATGCACCTGATATCATATAGCTGACATCTTAGGTGTTCTTATCATTCATACAGAAATTCATAAATTGGCAGCATAACTATGTCCAACACCCTAGAAACAAAGGGCGAGTGGCAGCATAGCTCTGTTGCCTTTAGACACTCTCTGGGCATCTGATCGCCTGTGCTGGTGACATACCCGCAGGACACACTGCCCAGGGCTGATTGGGAGACAGCACGGACAACTCTGATCCGGGATCAGGTCTGACAGACTGCTGAGAAAGCAGTGAATTAGACCCACATAATATTAACAAAGCTTGGAGTCAGGGAGAATGCTGCTCTCGTTCTGTGGGGAATGAGATCCAGTAATCAGAGATGGGTGTTTTGTGACTGCCGGTCTAAACATATACAGGTGTGACATATACAGGTGTGTCTGAATTCAAAACCTGTATTTGATGACAAACTCACAAACAAGCACACACCTGAAATGTATCATGCGGTATTAAAATAACTGTTGTATTATTACATTGTAACCAGGTGCAAGATAATAAAGCAACAAGATTTTTACATTTACATTTATGCATTTGGCAGATGCTTCTATTTACGGTTTACTTTTTTATCACCTCGTAGTTTATATTTTTAAGGATTTTAATAAATTTTTAACTACTTTTTCCTGTTTCTTCCATGTTAATCTGCCCTTTTGGGATTCTGTCACTTCACACCAGTGTTGCTACTAGTGTGTTAACTAAAACTAAAACTATTAAAAATAATTTATGATAAGTTAAAGAAAACATATAAATATAATGAAAAATAAATATTAGATGAAAACTTAAACTTTAAAAAACTTATTTCATTTACTTGCTAAGGCAACATTTCGAATTTTCATTTAATTTGAAGAACTAAAAAAAAACTAATAAAAATGACAAAACTCTTAAAAAATTTGTAAAACTTAAAAGATCAAATAATTATTAGTATTTACTGTCTTAATAGTATATGCTAAATTACTGTGGCTGGAAATCCTGATGTATTGTGTCTGGTTAATACCAATATGTTTTAATATTATAATATTAATATTGCATTTGTTGAATATTATATTTGTTCCCTTTTGGCCCTGTAGACATTTATTTAACAAACTGCAGTGTCATTTCCACCATCTTAAAATAGTGTACTATGTTTATCAGCATTCTGTGGTGGAAATGACATGTTTTATTGGGCATTATTAATTTTTGGCCATTTGAAAAGTAGCAGATATAAGTAATGAAGGCATGATAATGTTTCTAAGACAATTAATGTGACCTTAATATAATAAACAGAAAAAAACTGAAAACTGTTCATTTTAATAAAAATCAGCCCTTGGGACATTAAGGTGCCAAAAGTTGAAGAAACACCCTGAAATGCTGTGCTATTTTCTGCTTAGTGTCATGCAGCATATTGTAAGCTTCTGAATGGGCCTGAGAATAGCCTCGTGCGGTACGTGTATTACAGTCATGTAACTAACCTCCTCCTCTGTTGTCCTCCCCCTGCGGCAGCACAAACATACCCCAATGGCCTGTCGCCAAGACAAATCAAAATTGACAGTGATGATGACGACCTGCCAAACGTGACCTTGGACAGTGTTAATGAAACAGGATCCACGGCACTGTCTATAGCACGAGCAGTCCAGGAGTGAGTATTCTCTAAAGACACACTCTCACAAACACACCAGCATACACTGGAAATCAAGCTTCAGCATATGCACACTGACTGTCTTCAACTAATAGTGTATTGTACATAGTGCTAACAATGTAGATTCATTTTGTATGTTTGAAGAATCTGCTTTGTAGTTTGATTCCAAAGCCCCCCTTTGTCCAAGATAATATTTGAAGGCCTTCCTATTTATGCTGATATGCATCTTCTGTTGTCATTAAAATAAACTCATATATATTAATTAATTTTAATGTTGTGCAGCTATATTTTAGTTTTTTTTTTTTAGCATTTTAATTAAGATTATGTTAATAAAACTAAATATAAATAAATACTTATTAGGGTCATAGTGGGCCTGGCCCCCTGGCTGAGAAACACTGCTTTAAAGAGATTATTTTTATATTGCTCCCAGCCTGGGGTGCATTTCCCAAAAGCATAGTTAGCCAGTTATGGTGACAAGTTCTGTTGTTTTAGCATAGTTTAACAATTTGGTGTTTTGTGAATCCATAGTTCCAGCAAACATTCGCAAACAGCATTCCAAAGTTGTGAAGCTGTAGAACTACAGCTCTTGACCTGTGGTTATAATTATAGTTTCTTGTTAGTATGACATATGGACTTAAATAGATCATACACTTAAGCAAATTAAGCAAGCTGACATGTAGTGCAATCTATATCTTTCATTCCATATACTGTATATACAAATTTCATTCTGTGACTTTTAGTTTGTTAAGAGAATTAAAGTGCCGTTTTTGAAAAGTGGGAACCTTGCAGTGAGATAAGGAAACCTGCAAAATAAAGGAGAAGAAAAATAGCGAAGCAGTCCTCAGATGCTGTGTTTATTTACAGCAATGATCTGCAATTCATTTGATCTCAAACTGATTAAGTTATCACTCCACCACCTGCTTGACATAATAAATGACAGTTCTAACCAACGTGGTTCAAACAATGAATGTGCGAGAAAATTCCTACGGTTTCTGGAAACAGTCGTGACTAGCTAGTTCCTTTTTCCAACAATGCATCGTTACATTGATGTTCAGGAAACAAACTGCACACTGACTTACTTTCTTCTGTGGAACACAAAAGAAGATATTTTGAAAAAAAATGTTTGTCTGTGAAATGAAAGTCAATGGGGTCCAATCAGGGTTGTTTTGGACCCCATTGACTTTCATTGTATGGACAAAAACAGTTGAAACACTCTTCAGAGTATCTTCTGATGTATTCCACAGAATAAAAGAAGTCACACAGGTTTGGATTGACAAGGAGGTGTATAGATGATCACAGAATGATAACATTTCGGAGAACTACCCCTTTAATGGATTAAAGAGTTGGAAATTAACACCTATCACAAGACTTTTGCAAACAGTGAAGCGATTCTTTGTAGGCCATTCTTTGTAATACCGGCTCTTTGGTAACATTAGCTGTCACCTCCCATTCTTATGCCGAGTTCACACGGCACGATTTTAGCCCGATTTTTCACTCGCCAAACATTTGCTTGACCAGCCACAACATCAGCATAACAGTTAGTGCAAAATTATTTACCTCCAACTCTCTTTGCAGAACACCCAATCCCTGTTCCCTGCATCTCCCTCCTGCATAATCTGTTTTTCTTTTTCTCCTTGTAGCTGGAAATCAGCTCACAGACAATTTGCGGGCTATATATATATTTTTTTTAATAATTCCAGTCTCGCTCGAGAACTCCTTCTCGTAGGGTTCTCGCTTTATTTCCTTATCACTTCTCGCGTGTGTTTTGTTGTGAAACATAGTTTGCGGACCAGACAGAGCTGTCGGCGATTCTTCCTATTGTGAAGTCATGCAATGTGAAACCCCCTGTCGCAGATCCATCGTGCAATGTGAACACAGCAGCAACTGAATGCTACCCCAGATAGTCACGCAGTGTGAAAACAACGGCGATCCGACGAGTTTGAAAATCATGCAGTGTGAACTCAGCATTAGCGGCACAACTCCATGTGTCTTCACTCAGATGAGGTAGTCATCTCATTAAAGACATCTCATTAAGTGACATGATCAAAACCAGAAGACTCTCAAGCCCTGCAGGCTGTAAAAACAGCCTAGGACTTCTCCCAAAGAGTTTTCCATGAGCCAGCCCCCCTTCCAGCACCCTGCCGTCCAGCCTGTTATTTAGGCAAATGGTTTGGAAAGTATTCCAGGATTCCTCCGTATGTCAAAGCTTCGCACTGACACCATGTAAATGTTTCCCTTTGCTCTGAGTGTGCTGTGGACAAACGCTACTAGGACTTTGCCCCCCAGTGCAGCAGAATGCCAAACGCAGTTTAACCAGATTTACAGGAATGGTGTTATTGGGAGAGCTGCTGCTTTTGCCTGTTTACAGAGAGAGAGAAAAGGAGAAAGAGGGCATGTGTGCAGCTGTGTTCATTCTAGCATGTGAAATAAGATAACATTGTGGGCAGCGTCGCCACAAGAATAACACTGATAGCACGGCAGACTCAATGGACGAGAACAAATAAGCATTTATCACATCAAAGAAGTGTTTGATGAAGAATATTGTCATTTAATTGGGTCAGTGTTTTTGCACAATAATCGAAGCAGAAAATTACAAAGGCTAGGCAATAAAATGCAGACTACAATGAGATTGGAGCATCTAACAGTAGGAATGATGCCTTGTCTTGTGGGGCAAATTTGTGGACGCAGAGTTTGGCTTGGCTGGCACCGTGAGGCCCCGCGGGACTAAAATAACCCCCTCGGCTCACAGACCTGTCAGAGGCCAGTCATAGCCGACCCAAAATGACTCAGTCTCCACTATAAGACCGTCCTCACTACCAGACAAGCCAATTTGGGAGAGAGTGAACTGTCAGCTCTTCATTAATTTAAATATCCATGCAGCTAAAGAAGCCCTGTATCACACAACACGGCACTCTGAGCGAGAGGCCAGATGCCGTTATGTGCTGATACCTGCCTTTAAGTTGCTGATATCAGTTTCAGATAAACAGTCGAAAAGTCATTGCCCAACTTTTGCATCTCTGAGAGCTTCTTAAGTGACACATGCATCTATGTGGGTTTCTATGTTGTGTGTGTTGCATTATCCATGAATCCCTGTTGGAAAGGGGCTGTAATATTATTATTATTATTGACTGATATTGGACTCTCATTTCTACAAATATTAAGATTTGAAATAACTTTTGCCGTCATCAGGCACTGATTTAAAAGAATAGCTCTATAGTACAACAAAGAATTTAACCCTTTGACAGTACTGTTTCTTGAAGAGCTCCAAACAAAATATAAAATAAGCCCTTTTTTTTTCGTTCAGACTTTTTCCTTTCGATTTAATAATCTATATTGCATACCCTTTATTATAATGTAGTTATTTCTAAAATCACTGAAGCATCAGAATTGATTTATTTATTTGACATTGACAAAAGTGTGAATTATTTGTGGCATTTGTTATTTATATTTAATATTAGTAAAATATTAATATTTGTAATATTTACAATACATAATTGTATATAATATATTGTTAATACTTTATATTATAAAATTGTGATTTATTTATAAAATATTATTTATATTTAATATAAAACTAATATTGTTATAATAACATTAATAATTTACTATATAGTACTTATTTAAATAATATTTTTTAATTCTCTCTGTATATACTTTTATATTTATATGTGTAGTTTTATATATTATAATATGTATTTATTTTTTACAGTACCTAGAGTAGACCTACAGTAGTACAGTAATCTAATCATATCTCTCCCTGCCTCCTTGGTTCTTTTCTGTCATTCCTCTCTGCAGTCTGGACGAGATGCAGGTCTTGTTGGGACATGTTTAGGGGAGTGTATCAGAGAACACCCTGAGCCGTGAGCAGAAAGCTTACTTTGCTGGTCACTCTGAAGGGAGAGCACAGACAAAAAGACCAAGAGCTCAATTCAGTCTGATATGATGAAATATTTCAGAGACATTTTTCAACATACAGAAAAACTCATATCCCCTCCACACAGAAACACAACGACAAAAGCACAAAGCCAGGATGGCAGGGTTATGCAGGGTTCACACAAGAGCTGTTTTAAAGGTCTAGCCATCATCTGGGCGGCAGAGCTCGGCACTGTTCTACAGTAGGTGACGGCACTAGCATATGTTACTTTTTGACAAGGAGTAAAAACAGACATGGTTGAATCAGTGGTGTGACCCAACAAAAGGCTTTGATTTAAGTAAACTTTAAAGGGGTCATATGATGCTTTTTTAAAGATCATTATTTTGTGTATTTGGTGTAACAGAATATGTTGACATGCGTTAATGTTCAAAAAAGTTTCGCACATATTGCACCATGCATTCTTATCCTTTTCTCCGATGAACTGAAAATAACAGGAGTGTGTCCATCTCACAAATGTAGAATCCGTCTCTGCAGTCATCTCAACCATTTAATTCCAGCATCAGGAAATAGACAAACTATTTTACCCGCGGGATTTTTTTCTCTGGTGCTGTTTTGCGGTGTTGGTAAATTCACCACTTAATTTTGAGTTAAAATATGTTGTTGTAACTTTACTTACTGAGATTGTAACGAGTAATAATATTACCCAAATTTGATTAGTAATGCGTTATATTACTGCGTTACAGCAAAAAGTAATATACTACTGTAATATTATTACTTTTGTAATGCGTTACTCCCAACACTGTTTATTATACATACATACAAGGATACATTTCCTTTATTAAACAAGGATGCATTAAATCCATTAAAAATCACAGTGCTTTCTATTCATCAAATAAACCTGGAAAAATGTATCACGGTTTCCAAAAATAGCAAGCAGCACAACTGTTTTCATCATTGATTATAATTTAAAAAAAAGGTTTGAGCATCTGATCTGCATATTAGAATAAATTCTAAAGGTTTATGTGACACTGAAGACTGGAGTAATGGCTGCTAAAAATTCAGCTTTGCATCACAGGAATAAATTACATTTGAAAATATCTTCAAATAGTAAAGTTAGTATTTCACAATATTACTGTTTTTACTATATTTTTGTGAAAAAAATGCAGCCTTGGGAACATATGAGACTACTTTCAAAACATTGATATATATTAGGTTCTCTCACCTGTTTGTGAGCTGTAAATATTTGGTATGAATAGTACTTTTTCTAGTATTTCTTAAAGCTGCAGTCTGTAACTTTTGGTAAAAAATGATCTGAAATTTAATATGAAATTCGAATGGTATGACAATTAGATATTAGACTGTACAGAAATTGAATCTATACATGCTAATACACACTATAGGCAATGCTGATGTTGTTAAAATTAATAATTTGAGAATAAAGTATAACAATAATAATCATTTGTATAGTTTGTTGTGATTGTACATTCTCTAACATGCATATTTTAGATTCACAATTCATTTCAAAGCCTCTGGTGTGTAAAAATAGTAAATATCATCATGTCCTCCTGTTTTTTAACCCAAATAAAAGTTATAGGAGCATTAAATAGTTAATAAAGACACTTCATTCTAATGCTCATTATATTAGCGTTAGCCGCGCTTATGCTAACGATTAACTACTCTAATAACAGCGATGTTCATTTCAATCCGACATTCAAATTAAAATATTGAATAATTTATTGACTGAATCAAAAGATAAATTGGTTGATGTGTATTGGACATGCATCTAGACGAACCCCCCCCCAATTACATTAAGGAGAATAACCATCTGAACCTGTCAGGTGGATCTGTATTTTCAAGTCATTTTCTGCAAGTCAGACTACTGTATCACTATTTATGTCAGTGGTGTCCCCTCTGAAATATATCAGACTGTAAACATCCTGTGAGAGTTTGCCACTGAAGTCTTTCCACTGTAAATCCTGTCACTCCCTTTGTGCTCCATCACTCCCTCTGAACTCTCCTTCTAACATCAACCCCCCTCCATTTTTACCTGCCACCAACTTTTATTCTCACAGAAACTCTCTCTGTGATTCTCTCTCACTCTCTTGTAATTTCTCTGAGATAAAAAAAAAAACAACCTGTTTGGCTCATTGCCTCTTTCTCGGCTTCTCTTTGTCTCCTCTTCTCAATTTCACTTCTCCCCTCCTGGGTCTTTTTCTTACTCTCTCTTTCACTCTCTGTGTGTGTTTGCTCGAGGCAGTGAGAGAGAAAGTTCAGCCTCATTTCTGACACATTGGCTAATTTCCGCTAGGCCTTTGCTTGGCAGCACACCAACACCAAAAGGTGACCCAGAAGCAGGGGAGAAACAGGAAGTGGGCTCACTGGGCTGTGTGTGGTGGAGACAGTTCACTGGAGGGGTTGTCTGGCTCCGCCTCCTCTGCCTTTATTGCCAGGCCCAGCCTATGCCAATCAGCAAAGCAGGGGACATAGAGCTCTTATTACCTTAGAAGGGAAGGCGAGTGAGGACAATGTAATGTAATTAGACTTTACTCTCTTTCTACCTATTGGAGAAATGGAATAAAATTACTCGTACGCTCTCTTGCTTTCAAACACATCATGTCCTCACACTTACGTGGCTCTCCGCTCTTCAACAGTTCAGTGAGCTCATTGGTTGATATGTACAAATCCGCTCAATTACAGTTTGAAAGCTGGCCCACCCTCTGGAATGGCAATAATTCATTTTCTCACAGCAGTCACAACAGACAGCATGTTCTGAACTGTACCGTTTTATTCATTTGATCGTATAATATTGTGTAATATTGACTGGAATAAGTATGTTAAGACATTCCCTTGAATTTTGCTAAAAGCAAACTAACAAGCAACAAATGTCACAGCTTGAGATGTCAAGAATTATGACTTGTTTTGTAAGAAAAAAATAAGATGCTTTTGGCCTCTGAGTGTTTGCGTTATACCATCAAAATGCATCAGGTCTACAGCACCATCTAGTGATATATTATGAGTAGAACATTAGCAATACGGGCAAGCAACTTTATTTATTTTTTCAGTTAACAATATGTAAAATATTGGTTAGTGATGAATACATTTACATTTCACACATTTTGTGCACATTTTCTTTCATATATTTGAGGAATGGCAACTTGTGAAAATGTGTGTGCTGATAGTTTAACCTCTTTTTAAATGGTTAAACTTTCCTCTCTTAGTCTACTTGAAGTCAATACTGTAGTCAATAAGATTTTTTTTTTAATTAATTAATTTAGCAAGAATGCATTCAATTGATCAAAAATGACAGTAAAGACATTTATAATTTCCATTCAAATAAATGCTGTTCTTTTGAACTTTCTATTCATCAAAGAATTCTGATTAAAAATATATATATCACCATTTTTACAAGAATATTAAGCAGCACAACTGCTTTCAACATTCATAATGATAAGAAATGTTTTGTGAGCAGCAAATCAGCATATTAGAATGATTTCTGAAGGAGCTTGTGACACTGAAGACTGAAGTAATGGCTGCTGAAAATTCAGCTTTGCCATCACTGGAATAAAATAAAGTTTAAAATATATAAAAATAGAAAACCGTTATTTTAAATTATAATAATAATAATTCACAATATTACTGTATTTTTGATCAAAAATATGCAGTCTTGGTGATTACACTAAAATCACTTTATGAGGAAAACACGTGGTCCAGGTCTTAACTACTGCTTGGAAAGGTTGTTGTTTTATATCATGTTACCACATGATGGCAGCAGTTAGCTTATATACATGCTGCTATCTCAGTTAATTTCGTAGGATGCTGAATAAGGTCAGTTGGCAATATTTTAATGCCCTATACATGGTGAATAAAATCTCTCTCTTTCTCTCTCTCTCTCTCTCTCTCTCTCAGTTCCATGTCACCATTCAGTATTGAGAGCATTCGACGGCCACAGCCACCTGATTCTCCAGACTCCAAGAAACGACGCATCCACAGGTGGCCAATATACATACATATATATACGTTTTATATTTTATATACATATGTGTATTTTTTACTACATCTAATACAGCCTGTATTATGCAACCAATTTGAATTTAATAATTTCTCATGTTGAAAATAAGGTCATTTTACATTTTAATATTATTATTTATGTTTAATATTATTGTAAGATCATATAAAAAGTATATTTGCTCCAATAAAATCATTGCATTGCTGAATATTGAAAATAAGATAAAATAATTAAATATAACTTAAATTCAATTCAATTAAAATAGATTACTTTGGACAATACACACTACCATTTAAAAGCTGGGGTCAGATTTTTTTTATTAATAATTTTATTCAGGAAGTGCATATTTACAGTAAGCACATATTGGTCAACTTTATATTCATTAAAGAATCCTGGAAAAAAATACATCACTATTTCCACAAATTTAAAATATGAAGCAGCACAACAAGAAATGTTTTGTGAGCAGCAAATCAGCATATTAGAATGATTTCTGAAGGAGCTTGTGACACTGAAGACTGAAGTAATGGCTGCTGAAAATTCAGCTTTGCCATCACTGGAATAAAATAAAGTTTAAAATATATAAAAATAGAAAACCGTTATTTTAAATTATAATAATAATAATAATTCACAATATTACTGTATTTTTGATCAAAAATATGCAGTCTTGGTGATTACACTAAAATCACGAACTTTCTATTCATCAAAGAATTCTGATTAAAAATATATATATCACCATTTTTACAAGAATATTAAGCAGCACAACTGCTTTCAACATTCATAATGATAAGAAATGTTTTGTGAGCAGCAAATCAGCATATTAGAATGATTTCTGAAGGAGCTTGTGACACTGAAGACTGAAGTAATGGCTGCTGAAAATTCAGCTTTGCCATCACTGGAATAAAATAAAGTTTAAAATATATAAAAATAGAAAACCGTTATTTTAAATTATAATAATAATAATTCACAATATTACTGTATTTTTGATCAACAATATGCAGTCTTGGTGATTACACTAAAATCACTTTATGAGGAAAACACGTGGTCCAGGTCTTAACTACTGCTTGGAAAGGTTGTTGTTTTATATCATGTTACCACATGATGGCAGCAGTTAGCTTATATACATGCTGCTGTCTCAGTTAATTTCGTAGGATGCTGAATAAGGTCAGTTGGCAATATTTTAATGCCCTATACATAGTGAATAAAACATGTTACCACATGATGGCAGCAGTTAGCTTATATACATGCTGCTATCTCAGTTAATTTCGTAGGATGCTGAATAAGGTCAGTTGGCAATATTTTAATGCCCTATACATGGTGAATAAAATCTCTCTCTTTCTCTCTCTCTCTCTCTCTCTCTCTCAGTTCCATGTCACCATTCAGTATTGAGAGCATTCGACGGCCACAGCCACCTGATTCTCCAGACTCCAAGAAACGACGCATCCACAGGTGTGACTTTGCAGGCTGTAATAAAGTTTATACCAAGAGCTCCCATTTAAAGGCACACAGGAGGACACACACAGGTTTGTCAGCACACAAATACAATCTGTACACCTAGTTTCAATATCAATTTATTTGAATTTGGAGTATTGTTTCTGGTTAAAGTAATAGTTCACCCAAAAATAAAATTTGTTGAAAAATTGGTCACCTTCAGCCAGGCCATCCAAGATGTAGATGAATTAGTTTCTTTATCACAACAGATTAAAAAAAGAAAAAAGAAAAAAATGTTTCTCAGCAGTGGATCCTCTGCAGTGAATGGGTTCTGTCTGAATGAGATTCCATGACTCCAATCCATCAATTAATGTCTTGTGAAGCAAAAAGCTACGTTTTTTGTAATAAACAAATCCTCATCTAATCATCGAGATGCTTTTAACTTCAAACTGTTTCTTTTTATCATAAAATTGCTTTCTCCATTAAAAAAAATCGTCATTTCTCGTTTTTTGTAATAAACAAATCCTCATCTAATCATCGAGATGCTTTTAACTTCAAACTGTTTCTTTTTATCATAAAATGCTTTCTCCATTTAAAAAAATCGTCATTTCACAAGATGTTAATTAATGAACTGGAGTTGTATTGTGGATTATTGTGATGTTTTTATCAGCCGTTTGATACTCTCATTCTGACGGCACCCATTCACTACAAAGGATCGATCGGTGATCAAGTAATGTAATACTAAATTTCTCCAAATCTGTTCAAATGAAGAAACAAACTCATCTACATCTTGGATGGCCTGAAGGTGCATAAATTGTAAGCAAATTTTCATTTTTGGATGAACTATTCCTTTAAACAGTCTTGATTGTTTCACATTTTACAATTTCCTTAATATTCCCAAAATGACAGCGGTGTTTATTTTTGCTTAAGTAAGGTTCATTATCTCCACTAGGTGAGAAGCCATACAAGTGCACCTGGGACGGCTGCACATGGAAGTTTGCCCGCTCAGACGAGTTGACACGACATTACCGTAAGCACACAGGGGTCAAACCCTTTAAGTGTGGGGACTGCGACCGAAGCTTTTCCCGCTCAGACCATCTGGCCCTGCACCGTCGCAGACACATGCTGGTTTGAACCCACCCACTCACTCACACACGGGAGAGCTGGATCTCCCCCAGTAGTGTTCAGCTGGACTGGACACAGACACGGCCATCCCTACCCCTGAGAAAGAATGAGAGAGAGGATAAAAGCAAGCGAAGGAGGAGCATGATGCTTTCCCCACATTTGCAGAGCTAAACAGGGTCCATTCAGGGAGGGAGATGGCTCATCTACAAGCCTGAAACATTTGGAGTCCAGGATGTTGATTGTCTCGTGTCTGTTCAAAGGATTATTTCACTCGGACAGATGGTTTGTTTTCTGATTTTTCCTTTCTGAATCATCCGTGTGGTCTGTTTTAACATGGCTGCTTGTCACTCAACATCTACAATGTGAAGAAACGCAGAGTGGAATGGCTCTACGTGTTGTTCTGAAAGATGCGAAGGGGAGTGTGACCGTGCATGGTGACCGTTTACATTTACCTTTACCAAGAGCCAGACTATTTCAGAAGGATTAAGCAGATCTTCTAATGAAGAAGACTTTGGGCCAGTGATTCCAGAGGTTTCAGAGGTCGCCATTTACAGGTTAACACACCAGCTACTGAGATTACACAACAAACAATCTATCATAATGTTCATTTTGGGTCATTATATCTTCTGTTCCTCCTAACTGAAATTGACTGAATTTGATAGACAGACAAAATGTAGGTGCAGTCTACTCTCCACATTTGTCTGAATTTCATCACATTGACTCATTAATTAGGAAAATATGTGTAAATCTGGATAATGAGGGTCTACTCAGACAGGTAACTCGAGGCAGAAGAGCAATATACTCATTCTGAGCACCACAGGGGTGAGCTGGCCTGGTCCTCACCCATTTACACAGTCAAAACTTTGGGTTTCTACCAGTGCCGCTTTGTTTTCTATAATTCGGATACCTCTTCTATTTATAATGCATTTCTAGCTGCCGCATTTTGGAGGTGTAGTCTCTCACAACTTTCTAGGATATGCTGAGGAAATCTCTTGAATATCCTCTGTTTTCTTTTCCTTTTGTGAGATTGCTTTGAACTATGAAGCCTGATGTCAGTTACGGTCAGTACAACAGCACTGTTCAATGGCTTTGTCCTTCACTTTGTATTTATGAAGTATCTTTGCAAACATCAGTGTATCCATTTGCTAATTATTTTGATGACACTTCATTTAATTAATGCATTTGGTAACATTGGTAACTAACTATTACCATTCAGAAGTTTGGGGTCAGTAGGAATTTTAATGTTTTTGAAAAGTCTCTTATGGTCACCAAGTCTGCATTTATTTGATCAAAAAAATATAGTAAAAACAAAAATATTATGAATTAATATTGCAATTTAAAACAACTGTTTTCTAATTTAAATAATCATGTATTATTTATATATCATATTCATATTTATATTATAATATAAAATGTAATTTATTCTTATAATGGCAAAGCCGAATTTTCAGCAGCCATTACTTCAGTCTTCAGTGTCACTTGATCCTTCAGAAATCATTCTAATATGCTGATTTGCTGCTCAAGAAACATTTCCTATTAACAGTTGTGCTTAATATTTTTGTGGGAACCCTGATACAGTTTGTTTCATGATTCTTTAATGAATAGAGTGTTATTTATTCTTTTTTTAAAATCTTATGTAACATTATAAATGTCTTTACTGTTGCATTTTAACAATGTTATGCATCCTTGCTGAATAAATATATTCATTATTTTCTTTAAAAAATCCTAATGACCACAAACTTTTGAATGTACAACAATTTAAAACATCTTTAAATCTAGGTAAATTATAAATACACTACTGTTATATTCATGATATATTGTATTATTAATTTTTGCTCATAATACAGTAATGATAGTTAACATTTGAAATGTTTAAATGTAGGCAATTGGTGTATGTAGAAATTAACATTAACCCAGTTAAATAAGTGCTGTTAAAATATTGTTCATGGTTAGGCCATGATACCTAATGAATTATTAATGTTAATGAATTCAACCTTATAGTGAAGTGTTACCAATGTACCAATTTTACAATTTTTCAACCCACATATATTTTGGCATCATCCGAGCATCACAGCAATTGAACAATCCCCAAAGTCACCAGTAGAGGGCAGCCAGTGAGCTGAATTACAATGCGATCCCTGATATGCTCTCTTTGTATTTTTCTTCTCTCTCTCTCTCTCTCTCTCTCTCTCTCTCTCTCTTTACATTTTCTTTATGCATTCTAATGTTGGAAAGTGATTCAAATATTTACTGAGCCATATCTGTTGATATTAGAATCTGTTCTAATGTTTAGTTAAGAAATTTCAAATTTCTAATTTAATTAATCATATCCTTCGTTCGTTTGTTCGTTCATTCTGTTGTTCTAGCATTCTAAGAGGGATTTCTTAAGAAACATATATATAGACACACACTACACTAAGATACTCAAAGAAGCAATATGCTGCACTTGTGTGAATACAACTAATTCTTTTTCATACTGTACCCTGATCAATTCACTGTATGTTCCATGCTGTGCCGTTCACGTTAATGTATAGGTTTTCACTGAGATGTCTAAGTTCTGTTTTTTTTTTAAAGGAGAGCTGTCAAAGTTTTCTGTCCCTGTGATCCATATATGCACTTTCAAGTGACCACAGAAAGTCTTGTGACTGCTTTTCAGATTATTAGATATTACAAGAATTTACATTCATTTTACAGTCTGTCTGTGCATGCAGGGTGATCAAACATGCTGACTAAATCTACAATCAATCACAGTTGCTGGGGCATGTAGGGACTTTTCGTCACCAACAAAAGGAAACTGAAGTCAAATGCTGTGAAAGTAAAACGTGTCAACAGAAACATTCTTTACTTAGTAACCATTTGTCCATTAGAGATGACCAATCCATTATTTGTTTGTTTGTTTGTTTATTCTGAAGTATTATGATCCACCATGTTTTATGTTCCTCACTATGTATTTGTGTACACACGTGTGTATTCTGTTGCATATGGGCTTGAACATAACATGAGCACCTTGTTTTTATGAAGTATGGAAGTAATTATTTTAAGATAGACATGACATTAATCACCAGTGTATCTTATCATCATATTCTGTATTTTGAAACGTGTCTGTAATGCGAGGCACTTCATCTGCATATGACTATTTTCTGTACAAAAAAATACTTTTAAAGATGTTGTAATATATGTGAAAGTGAAAAGATGTTGCTCCGTTTTACAGGCTGTAAATACCTATTAAAATAGGGCTTTTTTAAAAATACAAGGGATTATCTTTATATGTAATATGCCGATTTTTCAGAGACATTCATTTAGCTAATATAATAAAAAGTGTTCAGCTGTTCAGTGTGTGAGAACAATGACGGCTTGTCATCTTAAAGGGATACTTCAGCCAAAAAATGAAAAATCTGTCATCATTTACTCACCTTCATGTCATTCCAAACTTTTATGACTTTCTTTTGTAAAACACAAAAGAAGATATTTTGAAGTATTTTGTTTGGATAGTTTTTTGGACAAAAACATTCTTCAAAAAATATGTTCTTTTGTGTTCTACAGAAGAAAGTCATACAGAGTTGGAACATCATGATGAAGGGGAGTAAAAGATGACATCATTTTTCATTTTTGGCTGACCTATCCCTGTTAATGCACATGTAGGGCCGGTTTGAGTGCAACCGGTCGTAGTTGCATGCAGAACAATCAAATCAAAAGTTCAGCTCATTACAGTATTCAGGCGGTGTTGCCTCATTTATAGTAAGTTCAATGTTTTATACTGACTCTAAAAATGTGAAAAAAGCAAAAACAACCCAATGAAACGAGTGTTCACAACACAGTATTGAAGAGTCATGAGCAACAAATTTACAACTATAGTGATTAATATTATACTGGTAAGATTTAATTTCTTTAAAAACTGAAAAATAAAGGGTTGTTTTACTCAATTTTGCATTACTTTTCCTCCCCTTTGGCATTCTTATGTTTTTTGTGGCATAATTTTGTAAAGGCAAACAGGGTCAAAGTTATGCAATAATGACGAGTGCCTAGTATTATTAAGATTTTCATGGTTTCCCTGGTTTAATCACGCAGACATGACACAAAGATCTGTTCCTTTGAAATGCACTGAGCCTTATGATCCATTTTGAAGCTGTAAATATCCTGGTTGGTGTTTCTTGAACATTCTTTATGTGTCTCCTATGGAAGCTGCATAATATTTTCATGGTATTCTCATATGGAAGGACACATTTGTTTAATGAACAGGACTCTGGTTTACCTCTAACTTTATAAAGTTGTGTGAACTTCTCATGCGTCCCCAGTTATGGAAATCAAGCAGTCGCAGGAAATATTCTGAATGTTAAGACACTGGTGGTATGGCATAATACCTCCATGAATAGCATTCCCCCTCATGAGTCTCTGTAAAATATTGCCTTTGTTTATGTATTTACTTTACTTTCTTTGAAATCAAGTATTTACTCAATGGCCTTTGTTTCTGGTTTTGCTGATATTCTGTAATTATCCTTCTTGTATTTATGTATAGTGTGTGTATTGTAAATATATTCAGAGCTTTTTTTTTTGGTTTTACTGTAAAGTTGTGATATTTTACCCCGCTACACTTTAAAGGGATTCCCTTCCGATTAAATCCTGTTGGAGGATGACACATCCCGATCGTTTCAAAGGTTGAAAGTGTTTCAGATTTATTTTACTTCTTCAGAAGTTGTCTAAATATTCTGTGCTTTTTGCTATATTCTCTGTATTTTCTTTTCTTTCTTTCCTTTTTTTTCCCAGAAGATTGAGCTATGAATTGAAATTGAGGTTACACATTATACTTGTTTGATAATCTAATCGGAGGCATGGAAGTTAATAAACTTGCATTTTGTAAGGAACATATTGGCATAAACTCATGTTTTTATATTTACTTAATTATAATTTTTGCCCCATGGATTCCCATAATTTTTAATGGGTTTTTATACTATTTTGGATTTGAGTAACATAACATTACACTAGTTCCTAACAAGCTAAGTACTACTACACCATTTTAAATAATAATGATAATAGTAAATCAAATCCTGAGGGAACTAATAGCAAATTAGCAATACTGGCTGGGCAAAAAAATTATTTAATGATAGCTCTATAGAAATGATACACTATCATTCAAAAGTTTGGTGTCAGTCACTTTTATTATTATAATTTTTTTTTTTTTTGTAAATAAGTTAATCCCTTTCGGCATTCAGCCAGGGCACATTAAATTGAACAAAAGTGACATTAAGGGCATTAATAATGTTACAAAAGAGTTTAAATAAATGCTGTACTTTTGTACTTTCTAGTCATCAAAGAATCCTGAAAAAAATGTACCATAGTTTTCACAGAAATATTAAGCAGCACAACTGTTTTCAACATTGATAATAGAAATAAGTTTCTTGAGCACCAAATCAGCATATTACAAATCAGAATAATTTCTGAACGATCACATGACACTGAAGACTAAAGTAATAGCTGCTGAAAATTCAGCTTTGCCATCACAGGAATAAAATGTATAATAAAATATAAGACAGTTATTTGAAATTGTAGTATTTCACAATATTACTGTAATTTTGTTAAATAAATGCAGCCTTGGTGAGGGTAATGTTAAAATCTCTCAGATGAACAACATTCTGGGCTACTAATTGTTGTTGTTGTTGTTTTGTGAAACATTTCCATTGATATTGCTTTCATACCAGTGTGATTTTGTGGGAATAACATCACAGTGATCCTATAAGTGCTTTCAGTAAATGGCATTCACTAAAGAGGATCACAGCTGAGCTACTGTTTGATCCATACTCTCATCTGCAAAGATCATCTAAATGTCAGGTCAAATAGTGAATTAAACTATTGTTCCTTTCCATGAAAGAAAATAAATGAGTTCCCTATTGACACAAGGCTTTTAAAAGAAACATGAAGGCATTGACTTCACGATAACAATCTTCCTCAGAGACAAAGCAGCTGGGCTGATTCTGGGCATGTTTAACAAGTATTATATAACAAAGAATCTTAAAGTTACTAGCTGGCAGTCACTAATAATCAAATAACATCACTCTGTTTGGCCAGTGAGTCTTCACAGGCACAATGTGACTGTGCTGACTTAGCATGCAGCTAGCATGCTAACCTCTGCTAAAAAGAGGCCAGACAGACTAAAATCACACCATAAGCTGGAAAATAGGCCTATGTCCTCAAAAGTGGCAATTGTCTTGTATTTTACTTAAACACTTTACC